AGATGTGCTGCCGCGGCGGCCCTGTCCCGGATCCCCGTTACCGGCAGCGTAAAGATTTCGGAAGCGAATTATATACCGTCTAGCGTACATAATAGTGAGGAAAAGAAAAGTAATTACTGAAAATTCTCCTGAGCGAATTTTGAGATGGCTGGCAATTATTAGCTTCGGGAGAGGAAAACCGTGCGCTGTATGCAAAACGGTCATGTTGAAGGGGCTCGTCCGAGGAAGAGCAGAACAACATCCAATAGCCCTCACGCTCGTTTACCATTCATGGACCCCACGTTTTTGTTTTGAACGTCATGAGTTGAGGGTATGGGGTCTTGAGTGTGTATGCGTGTGTGACCAGCATCTGCGGTCCGCTTTTAAAGGTACCCGGGTTTGGGTACGATACTGCAGCTAAGATCACACCCCCTGTCTCTTTTAGACATGCTTTTTTTGTTTGGAAAGGCAATCAAGCACGAGAGTTGAGAGGTGTGGGCATGAAGTGCTGTTTTTAGTTATGCGTGTGTGCAGTGTGTGATGGACATGGGGGAGTGAGTGGTGGAGGAGCAATGTTTTTACGTAATTGCATCTCCCCTGCCTGACAGAAGATTTGTTTTGCAATTTGAGTGGTTCTTGTGGTGAAACGTTCCGAGCTTGATGCCCGGCGAGATGGGAATCCGGGGGTGGTTATTGGGGTGTTTTAACTGATCCTTAGAGATGTTTATTTCGACTACATATATAGACGGGTAGGCCGTATTTAGATTAGTTGGGCCTAGCGCTTCGTGCCATGAGTGAACTACATATGCTCAGCGATCCCGGATTAAGCTGGATTGAAATTATTCTTGAGGCATTAGTAGAACTTGGATAACTTGGAAGGAATACTTGGTGGAGATGAGAGTTATAACCGGCAGCTGAGCCTAGGAACCCTTTCCACCGGAGGTCACGGACAGCCTAGATTAAGTGGTTTAGAGTATGAAGCTTCATAGCTAGCTGCATACATCCTGATAAACTTATCCCACGTATGTATGTAATTCTCTTAGAATTAGTAACTCTATGAAAAGGTAGCGAGAATATGGAGTTTTTTTAATGCACCTAAGCTTGAGTGTAAAATCTTAAACGTAATCCGCTTGTCACAGGTGGTCCGAGTTCCTGAACAGGGTGCGTATGTGCTCCAGATGTCTCACCATCCACCGGAACGAAGGATAGTAGCCATGCACAGCGGATATCGATTTTCGTGCTCTACTAGCTCTCTGTAGGTTGGGAGCCCATCCATCTGCCTTTCTTTTTTCTTTTTCCTCAAAATATCATTTGTAGTGGAAAGCCTAACACTCAGTCGGTAATGGGGACCTCGTGGAGTGCCGTGGTTCCACAAGTGAAATTTATGGTCATCTTATTTGGAGTTTATCTATTGATCCGCTAAGTTGAAGCCGGGGTAAGAGTTGAGGTGGGTGTAGATACGGATCATGAGGTATCACTCGTGACGATCACAGCTGCAGGAGAAGGCTAAGACCCGCTTCCTGTGCCGACGCCATTTGTGATACGACTTTTTGGCTTTATTGGTAACTGTACCAGTGCGTGCCGTGGCGTGCGTGCAGGCACTGCCAGTATCGAGCGGGCATAACATGCGGTTTGAGAAGTCGGATGGAAGGAATTCCGGCCCCTCGGAGTCACCTAGCCAATCAACGTAATGTTTTTATAGTGCTGGTTTCTGTGTTAATTCGGATCTTATCATATAATAGGGCTCGGTGTAACTTCGGAGAAGGTGGAGTTGTTCCAGAAAGGTACTCAAGCAGTGCAATGCAGTAGTACAGAGGCTTCGGCTCTGGAATGACAATTCTTGGCGAAGGTCGGATTTAGCTTTCAACTGAGCTATTATGCTGTCTCCTCCTATGATAACGGTTTATACTACACAATTAATCAAATCAGCAATAGCATATAGAATTTGAGGCCATGTGTGCATGCGCACGGGATAAGCTATTAAATAAGATTTAGCACAAGGTTTCTCGCGTGAGGAGAGTGGGAGCGCCTCCTTCTTCACTCCCGTTGCAACCTCTTCATTTGGTCGGCTGAGAAAGAACTCTCCACTTTCCCTAATGGCCCCATTAGTCTCCATTCTTGTTCCGGTCATCTCCGTTAAAGTCACGGTCTCGGGTGGTTGCATGTACCATGTGTAACACAATCCTTCCGGACTCCGGAGCATGCAGGGACGTTAGGATTGCTTATATAATTCTGCCGGAACCCATTGATGTATGTGAAGGTGGGGGCGTGGTGTTCTGGATGACGTACTAAATGCTCCTTGCCTCTGATTGTCAGTAGGTGTAGAAACCTTGTGATGCGTGGAGAGAATGACAGGACTTTCTCAGACATAGCTTACCTCCTTAGATATCTTGATAACAGTCACCGAAGTAATTATAACCAACTACTGATTAAAGATGATATATTCGCTCGTGAGTCGTGCAATCATGGTCTATCACTCGTTGTTCCGTTCCGATTGCCCGCGGCTGCGCAGAGTGATTGTTTGATCGATTGAACTACCCAAAGCAGGTTGGTTGAACTTGAAAGATTATAGGGAAGCAGAATAGTCATTCTTATGCGTGGTGTTCTGTTCTCTTAGGCCACGAACAGGACTAACGAGAGAAGACTAGATCGCGAAGTGAGATGATTGTTAGGAGTCTAGGAGTGTAACAACGGAGGGTTATACAGCCCTGGATCATGACACCGTAATCTACATGTAGGACTAGAACGTAATGTGTCACATACATGTGTCCGCTTGGCGCCAGTATGATAGCCTGTTCTCTTCGTAGTGTTACGCCGCTGGCCTCACACGGGGTAGGGTTAGGGTTTCCCGTCGGAGGGAGCGCATTTCAGTGAGTGAAGCCTGAGACGACATACATCGATAAGCGATGCCGTTAAGAGTTCTCAGCTTCTATGTTCCCCGGCGAAGACTCTGTACCCAATAGTCTGCCGGAAGATGAGGCATTTAAGCAACCCGTATGTTTTTTGTGACCAGGTCATAGATTATCACTCGCGATGATACCCTCAGGTTTTTACGGGGGGTATGACAGTAATTTCGGAATGGGTATATATAGCATCTTTTCAGCTCTAGAATCGCTTGTCCAGAATATCGATCCGCAAAACATTTTTTTTCGCGGCAACACTACTACTCAAGGTTCCGGTCCACCCTGCTGATATGTAGTGAATCAAATAAAGTCACAATTGACTCATTCCCTAAAAGCAATCACTTCCCCAGGCGGGTGTAGTTCGGTACGACAAGGAAAGCCTGTACCCCCCGAGCGCGAGGTGTCGGTGCTATGTTAGGAAATCCGACGAACACATGAGGATTCCGTCACAGGACGATAAGTTATGACTCTCGAGGGAGTCAGATGTGGTGGTAAGGTGGGTTATGTTTCATGCCGATTAGTAAGTGCGATTGATATCGACGGCGCCGGTATCAACTAAATGTACTCTTGAGTAGAGTGTTGTTTCGGAATAGTTAAAGTATAGAGTCACTAAAAGTAAAAGTTAATCGTGGTATATATTATAGCTCCAGCTTATCTGCCTTGGCCCTGATAGATACTACGTATATCCCGGCCGGGGAGACATGATACTCGAATAATAGGCATACTTCAATTGAGCTCACCTTGTATACAAAAAAGGCTGAGTACACAAACCCCCCTCACCCTACAAAGGAAAACAAAAAAAGAATTGATTCTTCCTCTTTTGGGATTCGAACCCAAGATCCTCACATCACTGTCTCCTACTAGCTGAGTTTCGGATGTTGACCACTACGCCGAGAGCACACAGTCATCAGGCGAAGCCCTTCCTCCTCTCCCCTAAAGAAATCAAAAATCAAAATGGCCTTCCAATCTATTTCACTACAAAAAAAAAAAAAGAACAAAAATAACAAAAGGTACTGCAGCGACTTATTGGTCAGTGTGCGCTACTACCCCCACCCCTGGTTTGAACCCAGGACCTTGTGTGTATCCTGGGTAAACACGCGGTGTCTAACCCGACGAGCAGTCTAACCACTAGACCACTCGCCCATAGTGGATGCTGCGCTGGAAGTGATACTTAGGCTTGGCAATGTGCCAAGATGAAGCAGAACCCCTAACCCTTCGATATTGTCATTTCTTAGCCATCTCATGTGTTATTGTAGAGCACGTCTACCGAAAACTGTGTCATTTTCAACTTTTTCCGTACAATATCGAACCTTAACCTGAACTTGGCGCTAGCAGGGCATGTACGGGGTGAGGGCGTTCTTCTGGATCTCTTGGGCCGATTACGCAACGATATCACAAAGCTGTCACTCCTACCAGTTTAAGAACAACTACATCTCGAATTATCTATTGGAACTATATCTGGGAATACCTTTCTTTTATTCTTGCAAGAATTAAAGTTAGTCTCATTGGGTCTCACCCACGCAACAGGAGTTAAAAACACCAAGACACCCCGAATAAAACAGAAGAGACACTGCCCGCACCACGCAGTTCTCACAAACAAAAGCTTCTAAACTACAAGACCCCACCACCAGCCATGTTCTGGCTCCATCCTCCAGAAACCCCACAGCCTCTCCACCCATACTCATGCGACTGCCCCCAGAAGCCATAGTACTAGTAGCATCCGCCTGATGCTACTATTTTCTCCCCACGCTCAGCAAGGGCACCCGGGGCCGGATCCGGCAAACGGCCTTACGAGCACTTGGCCCATACCCCATGAGATGGCATTGTAGGGTTAGCTAGGCCCCGGGAATGGCCTTACCAGCTCTTGGGCACCTCCCCCCCAGCCCCATGCGCAGTTACAGCGGTAGTGATGCTGCTGGGGAGGCGGGCTGCAGAGTTACCCGCAGCAGCGGCAGCAGCAGGATACTTGAGAGGTCCCCTGGAAAGACGACTCCCAATGTGTAGTTGGCTGGTGGGAGGCAGAGGCGAGAGAATGGAGTTTAAACATTTCTCTTTGGTCCAACCAAGATCGATTGCGGAGGTGGTGCAGACACAGAGAACCAGGCCCCCCTGCTGCCATTATTGCCTCCCCTGCTGGGTGGTGTTAGCGGTTATGGCTCTTACTTTAACTCTGATAGGGATTATTTCTATAAGAGAAATGGATAGAGATACAGAACAAGTGAGCGAGAGAGGGAGAGAGAGATACTCACAGGCTTCCAAAGTTTACCGATTAACCTCCAGCGTGGAGGACGGGCCCGAATCCGCACGCGAGAGCCGAGGGCCATTAGCTCGTCCTCTTGTTTTTGCTAATGGGTGGTATTAGTGGACATGATTCTTACTTCAACTTTAGCAGAAACTTATTCTATTAAAACAAAGATATAAAAAGATTGAGAGAGAAATACCCAAAGGCCCTCAAAGTTGTCCCGGTTAACCTTCAACGTGGAGAACGGGCCCGAAACTAATGATATATGAGAGAAAAAGGGCGCCCTCTCCCGCCATTTCTCCTACTAATGGGTAGTGTTAGTCTTACTCTAACTCTAGCACAAATTCATTCTATCAAGATAGGCAGAGATACAAAAACGATAGAAAGAAATACTCACGGGCTTGTAAAGTTTACCGGTTAACCTCCATCGTGGAGGGCGGGCCCGGAACGATATGAGTGCAAAGAGGAATGCCTCCGCTCTTTCTCCTCCTAATGAGCAGTGTTAGTCTTACTCTAACTCTAGTAGAAACTCATCAAAATAGGCAGAGATACAAAAAGAGAGAAAGAGAGAAATACTCACAAGCTTATAAAGTCTACCGGTTAACCTCCGTAGAGACAGCGAAGGACGGCCCATAAAAATAGGAAGGAAGAAAGCGAGAGCTCGCTGCTCCTTCTCCCGCTCTTGCTACAAGATAGTAATGTCAGTTATCACGATTCTGATTCTAATACGGACTCTATTCATCAAGAAAAACAGAGCTGAATATGGAGAGAGAGAGAGAGAGAGATAAAAAAAATTACTCACAGACTTACAAAGTCATCCCGGCCAACCTCCATCAGATCTGGGGCCTTTGGTAGACCTAGGGGAGGAACGGGCAGCACGAGAAGCTGTGCATCATTGTGCTCCCCGAGCTCCACCATTCCGGGGGACAAAACAAACCCCCCCATGGAGATGGAGAGGCAAAGGCGAGTATGGCCCTCTCATCGTCTGCCTCCACCATCCCGGGGGGCAAAACAAACCTCTGATGGAGATAGAGAGGCAGAGGCGAGAATGCTCTCTTTCTTTCTTTCTCCAGCTTCTTGAGAAGCGTATTGGCGGGAGCCATCTGGGGGCTCGAGAGGCTTCGGAAGGATAAAAAGAGGAGGTGACCATGACGGATCAAAAGAGGTGATGAAAAAGAGGAGGTGACCATGATGGATCGATGGATTATGAGGAAGTTAGAGATGATGACGAAAGACCGGAGTGTATAGAAGGAAGGAGAAGGGATTAGAGGGATGTGTGGTCTTAAGGATAATAATGCGAGGATGGGAGTTAGGGCTTGACCCAGGAGCTGGTTCTGAACTGTACTACTGGTGAGTAGAACTGTGAGCGCGAGCTTGCGGGGGTTGTGAATACGTACATGGATTATACATGCAGGTAGTCGGCCGCAATCCACGGAAAGAGGCCGGGTCGAGGCATAACTGCCATTTTATAATGGTTGCTGACGTATTGTATCTGCTATTATAGATGGGTTTGTGATGGATACATATGGAAGAGCCAGCTGCTCTGATTACATCGATGCTGATGCTCAGACTATAATACCATTTGGTCTCATAACTGATATATTTAGGTTTCAAAGGAGTAACTCTACTGATGGATACGGGGAAAGTTATCCAAACTCCTGGTTATGAATCATCCGAGAGAAAGCTCTCAATCACCTTCCCCATAACCTACACGCGCCGACAGCCGCAACACATGCCTAAATCGAGACCCCCGAAAAAGCTAAATTAATTCCTACTAACAATTTATCCCGGAATTTGAAGTATACGGCCATTTAAGGATTCTAGCGATAGCCCTCGGTATGGATCTTAACCCTATCTTCACACATGCGATCCCTTTTATCTCCTCTTTTCCTCGTCTCCGTGTTTATAGTGTTCTATTAGCTAAATAGCTTCGTCACTTATCCTGATATTTTGAATCTATCATTCGGTTGATGATTTAATTCGCTCACCTCCTAACCCCCCCTCCCTCCGCTTAAGCTTCGATCCTCGCCAGATTTCTTGCACAGCTATCATTGATACCCCACACCACCACTCCCATACCACACCCACAAGCCCCCCCCCCCCCCCCCCACTCACCGCACCCCGCCCCAGATCCTTGAAACCAGATATAGCGCCCGTAAACAAAGCCCTCAAAAAGCACCTACATACCCCATCAAGATTCCCCGAACCCCTCCACTCCCACATAATCATTACCCACAACCCGATGCTTGACCCTCCCGCCATGAATCCCCTCTTGGCAGACGTCCGCTCAGACCTTAAGCTGGGGCGGGTAACGAATCAACGAACAATGACTTTCTAATCATTGACAGCTTGCCACGACGCCTTCCGCTCTCCCGCTGCTCTCCCGCTTTTATCCTTTGTTTCTCGCTGACGCCAAGACAGAAGTTTGGGTTTGGCTTGGTAGTCGAGTGATATCTCATGCAGCGCACAACGCAAATTCTGAGGAGCTAGCTGGAACGGCGGATTCTTGAATCTAGATCTAGGTGGTATTCATAGCCAGGTATCTATCCTATCTATCCTATCTATCCTATCTATCCTATCTATCCTATCTATCCTATCTATCCTATCTATCCTATCTATCCTATCTATCCTATCTACATGCATGTCCTATCCCGGGTGTATACAAAACAAAAGAAAGCTCATCAAAAAGTCCACAGGTCATTGTCATAAAGAAAAACACCAATCGTCCCATCGTCTATCTAAAAACCCACCCCAAACAAAAAAATGTCCAAATGTCAAAAAGTCCAAAGTATATACCCCAAGTCCCAAAGCCCCAATACTCCATCCGTCCCAAAGGGAAAAAAAAGAAAAAGAAAAACTCCAAACCCCATCCAAAACCCCAAAAAGCAAAGCCAGAAAGAAAAAAAAGGGGGGGAAAACACACCCTAGGCCTCCTAGGTCGCATAACTCGGCGGCCTCGCGCCCGTATCCCACGCCTTCATCTCCGTCCCCAACACAAACTCCATCGTGCCACCCTTCTCAAAGATATCCCCCCAGCTGATCCAATTCCGATCCCACTCCTCGCCATTCACCTTCAAGCTCTGGACATAATACGCCGTCTCCGAGCCGCCGGTGGTCTTAATACTCACCTTCTTCCCATCCCCCAGGTTCAAGTTCAACTCCGCAAACCACGGGGACCCAATCAGAAACGTCGTCGACCCCGTCATGGGATACAGCCCAATCATATTCCACAGCAGCCACGACTGCATCGCGCCCGCATCGCTGTTGCCGGGGAGCCCCTCATTGCCCGTGTTATAGTACGACGTGGCGATGAAGCGCGCCTTCTGCACGCTCAGCGACTGCCGGTTGACGTAGTTGAAGAGGTACGGCGAGGCAAAGCTGGGCTCGTTGCCGGGGTTGAAGAGCGTCTTGCCGAAGCGGGCGTCGCCGCTCGGGTTCGCGCCGGGCTCGAAGAGCTTCGCGAGGCGGGACGTGAAGAGGTCGTCGCCGCCCATGTACTTGATGAGCGTCTCCATGTCGTGGTGGGCGCCGAACGAGTACTCGTAGGGGAGCGCCTGGTAGTAGTTGTCGCCCCAGTAGCAGCCGCCGCAGCTGAGCGGGTCCCAGGCGGGCGTTGGGAAGGCGCCGTTCTGGTCGATGGGCGAGAGGAAGCCCGTGAAGCCGAAGGCGGTCGACTTTGTGTCCCAGTGGTTGCGCCAGTTGCGCGAGCGGTTGAGATACTTGTCTGTGTCGTCCGTCTTGCCGAGGCCCTTTGCGACCTGCGAGAGCGCAAAGTCGTTGAGCGAGTACTCGGACGCGCGCGAGACGCTGCGGCTGTACTTGGTCGTGATGTAGCCCTTCTCGAGCCAGTCCGGGAGCGCGCCGCGGCCCTCCTTGGTCGACGAGTCCGAGGCCATGGCGTCGTTGTTGTTGGCCGGCGCGACCTCGGCGTCCTTGACCATGGCCTTGTAGCCGTCGTCCCAGTTGATGCCGCCGCGGACGCCCTTGACGTAGGCGTCGGCGAGGACGTTGTCGGCGTTGCTGCCGCCCTGCACGCGGCCATTGAAGTTTGAGGAGCGGCCGTCGGGGAGGTAGCCGTCGTGGCGCCAGACGTCGATGAGCGAGCGGATGTAGTCCTCGTAGCGGTGCGGCATGAGGACGTGCATGAGCGGCGTGTGGCTGCGGAAGAGATCCCAGAGCGTGAAGATGTCGTCGTACTGTGGGGGGGTTTTCATTAATTAGTCTTACTGATCATTGACATTGGTTTATGTGGATTGGGTTATGGCAGGCATCAAGACATACATAAGGCTCGGTGGACGTCCACTTCGGGTTCTCTCCCGTGCGGTTCGACGGAATCAAGAACATTCCGTACAGCGACGAGTACAAAAGCCCCAACTTCGCCGAGTCGGTCTGTTCTCACTATCATCAGCTTCAAGCTCCAGTCACCAGCCAGTCGCCAGCCCATCGCTCGGAGTATACAACATACCTCAGTGGTCGTAATCGACGAAAACACCTCGTTATTCCACGTCTCCTTCGCCGCGCTCGCCAGCGCCTCGAACGAGTTCGACTCCGGGATCTCCTTCTCCTTGAACTCGCACGCCTTCGCCGTCGAGATAAACGAGATGCCGATCTTGGACTCGACGACCAGCTCCAGCCCGGCGGTGGAGTTGAACGAGAGCAGCGCACCAAGCCTCTTCTTGCCCGACACCTTGGTCGCATTCCCGAACGACTCCAGTGTCTCACCGGAAACAGCAGTCCCGGCGAATGTGCGCGCCTGCGACGGCGTCTTGTCGACCGTTCCGCAGAAATAGATTTTCCAGTCCTCGCCTGTTCATGATAATAAAATATTAGTAACGGCGCCCCCGGAACAGAGGAGGCGGGGAGAGTTATGCACCTAGATTCCAGCCCCCCTTGTACACGCCAAAGCCGGTGTACTTCCCCTTCGCATCGACCTCGATCTCGCCCTCGACATACTTCTGCTCAATGCCCTGCCCGCGAAAGCTCGGCAAGAAATGCGACACATCCACAAGCACATGCACGCCGCCGTCGGCGCCCGCAAACCGATGCCGCATCATCCCCGCATGCGCCGCCGCCGTCAACTCCGTCACCACCCCGTTCGCCAGCGTCGTCTTGTACCGCCCGACCTCGGCCCCGTCGTCGCCCACGCGCAGCACAGCGCTGTCCACGAGCGGATTCTCAACCGCGCCGGTGAGCGGCAGCTGTGAGACCACCCCGTATTTGGGCGCGCCGCCGGTGCCAGACTCGTGCATGAGCGAGAAGCCGGTCACGCGCCCGCTGGGGAGGTAGCCGGAGTAGGCGTCGGCGGTGCCGGTGGCCGGGAGCATGTCGACGCCGATCTTGACGACGCCGAAGGGGAGGGTCACGCCGGGGAACATGTTTCCGCCGTTCTGGACGCCCATGCTGGAGTATATGTTAGCATATATGTTGTGAAGATATTTCTCTCTACCATGTGGGAGGTAGATCGAGATGGTACTTACAATGGATGCACATAGCCCGTCATGTCGGCGAACTTGATATCGTCCCTCCTGTTAGAGGGTACATCTTCGCTCCTCTTACTGTCCTGGTCAATCGCCGATGGGTCCGCGGCCGCATGCACAAGGCGTATACCCAGCGCCAGCGCAACAGTAGCTGCAATAAGAACCATTGTGAATAATCCAACGCTCCAAAGTAATCTAGGTGTTGTGCAGTGTCTTGATTTCTGTTCATGTAGTTTCTTCTTCTCGTTCTGCTCTTCCAGACTTGCACCGTCCTCTACGTCCTCCATCTCGGGTTTTATAGTAGTTTCTGTCATGATGAAAAACAAAAAAAAGACGATATAGGCTGTTAGTTTACTGCCAGTAGGGATGGGCGCTGATGGGGTCGCTCGGAGAGGATCTGCTATATTAAAAAAGTGCAACACCGGACAATATCATGTACTCCGGGCGTAAGTATTAGTATCGAGTTAT